CACTTGGTAGCCCAGGCTGGCCTCGAACTCACAGAGATCCGCCTGGCTCTGCCTCCCGAGTGCTGGGATTAAAGGCGTGCGCCACCACCGCCCGGCTGTTTTTGTTTTTGTTTTTAAAGAGTGCATAGTATTCTTGCAGAGGACCTAGATTTAGTTCCCAGCATCCATACCAGGTAGCTCACAACCACTTGCAACTCTGAGCATGTGAGAAAATCCACTACTAATACCACAGGTGACAGAGAAACATCAACACAATCTCCTTGGCCAGGAGTAGAGCGAGGCTGTCCGGAGTATCACTGCTGTTCAGCAGTACTTACGGGTCCTGAACAGCTTCGTGGGGGCAAGATAAGGGTATAGGCAGTGCACACACAACCCCATCACTGCAGAACTAAACAAACACTTCATGGGGCAGAGACTGGTGCTCAGTGGCAGAGAGAGCCCTTGCCTAACTTTAAAAGCCCTGGTGTCTTGGTTTGTTTTTCTGTTGCTGTGGTGATAAACACCATGACCAAAAAAAACAGCTTAGGAAGGGGAAGGGTTCATTTGGCTTGCAGACCACAGTCCATCATGAAGGGAAGCTGGAGCAGAACTTTAAGACAGGAATCCAGAGGCAGGAACTAAAGCAGAGACCGTGGAGCAATACGATTACTGGCTTGCTCATCATGGCTTGCTCAGCTTGCTTTCTTATACAGCCCAGGATCGTGTGACCACTGTGGCACCACACACAGTGGCTGGACCCTCCCACATCAATCATTAGTCTGGAAAATGCCCCACAGACCTGCCCACAGCCAATATGAGGGAGAAATTCCTCAGTTGAGATTCCCTCTTCTCAGATGACAACAGCTTGTGTCAATTTGACAAAAAAACTTAACCAGCACATCTGGCCTCCATCCCAGCACAGAAGGAGAAAGAGAAAGAGGACATGAGAAAGAGGAAAGGGGAGGTGAGGAGGGGGCAGGAGGAGCAGCTAGGCACACTGGGAAGGGAGAAATGGCATTGCCTCTGTTTGCAAGGGATATAATTATCTATGTGAGACATCCTACAGAATAGACAAAATGCCCAACCCAGTAATGGCTTCAACAAGGTCTTACGTTATAAGGTAAAGCTAATTTTTGTGTGTATTTAAGTATTGGGAAGGAAGACACAAAGGAGACCTCAGTACTGTGGTATTATTGAAACAGCATTCACATACAGTTAAGTGTGGGAAATGCTCAGGTCCAGTCTAACCACGTAGCATCTATCTGCTTAATATACCAAGGATTTAGTTACAGATGAAACAATAAGAAAGCTCAGTTGTAGTCAGGAGTCAGCGTTGCTAAGACTCAGTGGGATACCAACAAAAGCCCAGCAGGGTGATTCTAAAATTATACCAAAAGGCAGCATTCATCATGATGTTATTTGGGACAGTCTAGGGGTACATCCACAGATGAATGGTGAAGAAAATGAAGTATGTTCAGGGTCAACAGATAAGTGTGCACAATGGAGTTGTAGTCAGGCATGAAGAAGAATAAAATGCCATTTACAAGAAAATGGGTAGAAATGGAGATCATGTTAAGCAAAATAAGCCAGACTCAGAGGCTCCAAGTTCAGCTCCCAGCATAACCATCAGCAGGCTCAACAATGGTATATAACTCCAGTTCCAGGGATCTGATGCCCTCTTCTGGCCTCCTTGGGCATTGATGTGCACAGACCCACACATAATTACAAACAATAAGAATAAAACTTTAGCAGCTTATTTACACAGGCAAAACCCAAAGACGGTCCAGTGTTCCTTAGCAGTTCAGTGAATAAATTGTAGTATTTAGACTGAAATTTCATTTGACAGCACAGATGAATACTGGCAGCATTAAGACTATACAAGAAGAAGCCCGACAAAAGAATATTACTGTGCAATATTGTTCATATGAAGTTTGGACACAGGCAAAGGTAATCTCTGTGACAAAAGCCAATGTGCTGTTAACTCTGGGAGCCCAGTGCTGACTGAGGCTGAAGATATTCTCCGTTTTTGGTCGGAATTATGGACATATGGGTTTGTTTACTAGCAAAATGTATCAAGTTGTGTTATAGTTAATATAAATGGAAACATATTTAATCATAAACATTTAAAAATATTTTACTGCCAGGTGGTGGTGGCGCACACCTGTAATCCCAGCACTCAGGAGGCAGAGGCAGGTGGATCTCTGTGAGTTTGAGGCCAGCCTGGTTTACAGAGCTAGTCCAGGACAGGTTCCAAAGCTACAGAGAAACCCTGTCTCAAAAAACAAAAACAAACAAACAAACAAACAAACAAACATATATATATACACATACATATACATATATTTTACAAGAAGACATGAAAGAAGAAGGGTGTCAAGGGAGTATCACACACACACACACACACACACACACACACACACACACACTATTAATAAAAGCCACTTTCAGGACCCGAGCAACCAAACCAAACCCAAAAGAAACCTATTACTTTATGTAAGTAATGTATATTAATAATTTTGAAAACCTATTATTATTAGTGTTGTTGTGTGTGCACGTATGTGTGGAGGGGGCACCGTGCTGCAGCATGTGTGTAGAGATCAGAGGTCAACTCTCTGGAGTCTGTTCTCCCCTTCCATCTTTATATGGGTTCCAGGAACTGAACGCAGGCTGTCAGACTTGTGGGAGAGGGGGGCAAACACCTTTCCCTTTTAAACCATCTCAATGGCCAAAAGCTTAAAATAATCTTCTTTTGAAGTAGCTGGGGCTGGAGAGACGACCCCATGGTTAAGATCAGGCACTACTCTTGCAGAGGATCTGAATTCGGTGACCAGCACCCACAGTGGGTAGCTCACAACAGCTTGTGACTACACTTCTGGGCTACTAATGCCTCTGGCCTCTACACCTGCGCTCAAGTGCCCATGCCTCCACACAAGCACACACTCATACACACACTGAAAATAAAAATAAATATTTTTTTTAAAGTAGAATCGCTAATACGGTTTTGAAACAGTGTGGTGACAGGGTTCTTGCCACCTGGCTTAGGGACTCTCCATAAAGGCACAAGAATCAATTCCATGCTGGATTAGTGTTGGCAAAAGAAAGACACAGATTAACAGAATGGAGCAGAGTCCAGGAATTCATGGGCCATTGGTTTTTGACACAGACACAAAGACAGAAAAGGCAGATCAGTGGAGAAAAGGCAAGCTGCCAAACAAAAGGCACTCTGACAACTGGCCTTTTCTCTGCAGACAGACAAACCTTGTACCGCTTTCTAGAGAAGTGTCTGCCAAAACCATGTAAGGAGGATTTGTGTCCAGCCTGTGGCACTACTGGGAGGTGGTGATGCCCTTAGGAGGCAGGGCTAGGATGTGTCCTTGCAGGGGCTGTTGGGACCTGGAGCCCATAAATTACTGGCAAATCAGATCATAACAGTACAGCCAGATGGTGTGGGCGACCACGGAGGAACAGCGCCCCTCGTGTCACTGAAACGAATGCCAAGTGGCCCTGGCCTTTGGAAGGCAGGTTGGCAGGTTCGGATTTAAACACTTCTAAGAGACTCAGCGGCTTCGTGGCTCTGCACCCACCCAAGCAAAGTGACATCTGCACAGAAATGTGTGGCTTTATTCACAGACGCCCAAGACAGAAGCAAGCCGGCATGTCACATAGGAGCACCAGGGCATTGGCGGAGCAGACATACCCCCGATCCCCTCCCCTCCACTCAGCAGCATGCAGGAATCCCAGAAGCTCTCTGCAGCATGGGAGAAGCACAAACGAATGTCTATCCACCAACTGTTTGTACAATTTTCTGGAAAGGGCAGAAGTGTGGGGACAGGAGAGAGATCAAGTTTCCCAGGGGTGAGAGGCAGGGGACAAGGTGGACACTGAGTGTCCAGACTGCTCTGCAGTTGGACTGTGGCGGCAGTCACACCACTGTGGAGACACACCCACACACTATCAAGACGATCTGTGTGGACTATAATGGTACGCGGTGTGGCAAGTGTCAACTTGCCACAACCTAGAATCACCCGGGAAGAAGAGAATCCTAAATGAGGGATTAATCGTCTACATGGCGATGGTGGCAGGGAGGGGGGGAGGGACAGGTGGCGGCTGTGGGCATATCTGTGGGGGATTGTCTTAATTAAGCTGATTGATGCCACTCTGCGAATGTCACCATTCCCTAGGCAGGAGCTCCTGAACTATGTAAGAGTGGAGAGATGGAGCTGAGCACAAGCAAGCCAGGGAGGGAGCCTGAATTCATTTCCCTCTGCTCTTGACTGCGGATGCGCTGGCTGGGACCAGCTGTTTGAAGTTGCTGCCTTGACTTCCCTGGTATCGTGGACTGTAAGCTGGAATTGTAAGCTGAAATAACCCCCTTCTCCCCTACATGGATTCTGTCAGGGTATTTCATCAGCACAACCGCGATGAAGCTAGAACAGCCCAGAAAGTCATGCCAATGAGATGATGGAGAGAGATGCCAGCGATAGGGAGCAGTCTTCCAAAAGCGCATGCGCACATACACAGAGGGGCTGTGGGACATGTACACAGATGCAGAGGGGCCCTGGGGGTGGGTACAAGCTGAGCAGCAGGCTCTCCTGGAAGCCATTCTGTTCCAGATCCAGACC